AGGGACAAAGGATGACTATTTTAGGATTTGCAGACCATACGGTCTCAGTTTCAAGTGGCTCAATTCTGCCACTCAAGCCTGAAAAGCAGCCATAGATAATGTGTAAATGAATGAGCATGACCGTGTTCCAGTTAAACTTCTAAGGTAACTGAAATTTAAATTTCATATAATTTACATGTGTCACCATATATTCTTTTTTGTCTCCCAACCATTTAAAAATGTACAAACCATTTTTAGTTGCAGGCCGTATAAAAACAGGTGGCAGGTTGGAGTTGGTGCACAGGCTATAGTAGTTTGCCTACCCATGTAGTAGAGAAAGCATCTGAACTGTTAACACTATGATATTAAATTATAATGATTATTAGAATTTTTGGAACAATGTTGAGCAAGAGTACATATATCAATAGTTAATTATAATTAGCTATGATTTTGTTTGTCTGCAACTGATTACATGATAAAAAACCCAAACCAAACCCACTGCCATTGAGTTGATTCTGACTTATAGCTACCCTACAGGACGTTGGGAGCTCTGGTAGCATAGTGGCTAAGGCACTTGACTGCTAACCAGAAGACTGGCGGTTCAAACCCACCAGCCACCCCTCGGAAGGAAGATGGGGCAATCTACTTCTGTAGTGATGCTGCCTCGGAAACCCAAGGAGGGGTCGCTATGAGTCGGGTTCGACTTGATGGCACATAACAACAACAACAACAACAGGACAGAGTAAATTGCTCCACAGGATTTCCAAGGCTGTAAATCTTTGCAGAAGCCAACTGCCTTATCTTTCTCCTGTGGACCGGTTGGTGGGTTCAAACTGCTGACCATTTGGTTAGCAGCTGAATGCTTTAACCACTATGTCACCAGAGCTCCTTGATTACATGATACATACTCTAAACTATGTTGTCATAGATATAAAGGCAAATTGTTGTTGTTGTCAGGTGCCACAGAGGTGATTTTCAACTCATGGAGGAGACCCCATGTGATGGAGTAGAACTGTCCCATATAGTGTTTTCTTGGCTAAAATCTGTACAAGAGCAGACTTCCAGGTCTTCCTTCCATGGAACCACTGGGTGGGTATAAACCACTAACCACCAATGTGGTTAGCAGCCAAGAGCTTAACCACTGTGCCACCAGGGATCCTTAGGCTTACTAAACTTTTTTAGACTGCCTACCTTTAAATTTGTATGCCTTTATTATATGGGGTTTCCTTCTAAAATAGCTCCCCATATCCCTCATTATCCAGTGTTCTAGTTTCAGGTACACCACCAACAAGCTAGGTGTTCTTGGCTAGTTTCCTTAACAATTCATCAACTCCTGGGTGAAAGCATGAAAAATGTGATCCAAAAAGATTGGCTCCAGCAATCTAGAATTGCTCCTCAGGACTCCAACTACTAAATGGTTTCAGAGTTAGAGTACAGAAGGGATGACAGTCTGTTGGTGTTGTTGTTAGGTGCTGTCGAGTTGGTTCCAACTCATAGTTACCCCATGTACAACAGAATGAGAACAATGCCTGGTCTCATGCCAGCCCCACAATCCTTGCCCTACCTGAGCCCACTCTTGTAGCCACTGTGTGAATCTATTTCATCGAAGGACTTCCCCTTTTTTGTTGATCCTCCACTTTACCAAGCATGATATCCTTCTCTAGGGAATGGTCCCTTCTGAAAACATGACCAAGGTAGGTCAGATGAAGTCTGGCCATTCTTGCTTCCAAGGAGCATTCCGGCTGCACTTCTTCCAGGACAGATTTGTTTGTTCTTTTGGTAGTCCATGGTACTTTCAGTATTCTTTGCCAATACCACAACTCAAAAGCATCAACTCTTCTTTGGTCTTCCTTATTCACTGTCCAGCTCTCAAGTGCATGAGGCAACTGAAAATGCCATGGTTTGGGTTAGGTACACCTTAGTCTTCAAAGAGGAGCTCTGGTAGCATAACCAGAGGGCTGGTGGTTCAAACCCACCAGCCACTCCTCGGAAGGAAGGCCAGGCAATCTACTTCCATAGTGATATTGCCTCAGAAACCCAAGGAGGGGTCAATATGAGTCGGGTCCAACTCGATGGCACATAACAACAACAGTCTTCAAAGAGACATCCTTGCTCTTCAGCACTTTAAAGAGGTTTTTTGCAGCAGATTTGCCCAAGGCAATATGTTGTCTGATGTCTTAACTGCTGCTTCCATTGGTTTTGATTGTAGAATTCAATCGTAAATAACTTCAATCTTTTCTCCATTTATTGTAATGCTGCTTATCAGTCCAGTTGTGAGGATTTTTTTGTTTCCTTTATGTTGAGATATAATTCATACTACAGACTATAATCTTTAATCTTCATCAGTAAGTGCTTCAAGTCATCCTCACTTTCAGAAAGCGAAGTTATGTTGTCTGCATATCACATGTTGTTAAAGAGTCTTCCTCCAATCCTGATGCTACACTCTTCTTCATACAGTCCAGCTTCTTGGCTTATTTGCTCAGTTTACAGATTGAATAAGTATGGTGAAGGATACAACCCAGGTGCACTTCCTTCTTGATTTTAAACCCTGCAGTATCCCCTTGTTCTTTTCCAACGACAGCCTCCTGGTCTGTGTGCAGGTTCCTCATGAGCACAATCAAGTGTTTTGGAATTCCCATTCTTCTCAATGTTATTCATAATTTATTATGATTCATAAATCACAAGTATGCCGCTTGCTGGTATTCTTTGCTTTCAGCTAAGATCCATCTGACATCAGCAATGATATCCCTTGTTCCACATCCTCTTCTGAATCCAGTTTGCAATTCTGGAAGTTCCCTGTCAATACACTGGTACTCTGTTGTTGTTGTGTTGTTATGTGCTGCTGAGTCAGACCCAACTCATAGTGACCCTTCCTTGGGTTTCCCAGGCGGTATCACTATGTAAGCAGATTGCCCAACCTTCCTTCTGAGGAGTGGCTGGTGGTATTCTAACTAGCCCTTAATAAAGTTATTAACTGACTTGTGAGAAAGAATAAATCAGAACTGGAAGATGTAGTAATAAAGTATAACAAGCACTGGGTTAACAAGTCAAGAGTCTAATTTGAATTCTCCCTAACAATCTCTGGTAAGCTATCTTTCCATTCAGGGCCTGTTTCCTTGTTTATAATGAGACCAGATTAGATGCTGTCTAATCTCTCTACAAATTTTCACATTCTATGGGTTTTTGAAAATATTATATTACAAATATAATATCTTGGGTCAAGAGAGCTCAGAACTACCTTCTATCTTTCCTAAAAATTGACTAAGTCATCTCTATGGTACCCATGCATCCACTAGACTGGTGGTACTCTCAAACTTTTGTGCTTGTATTAATCATCTGAGGATGTTGCTAAAACGAAGATTCTGATTCAGTAGGTCAAGGAGCCTACAGGTGGCACCATGTTAAGTGCTCAAGAGCTAACTGAACAGTTGGCAGTTTGAACCCACCATCCACTCTGCAGAAGAAAAGACCTGGTGATCTGTTCCTATGAAGATTACAGCCTAAGAGACCCTACGGGGCAGTTTTACTGTCATACAGGGTTTGCGTTCAATTAGAACTGACTCAATGGCATGCAACAAAACAATCAAGTCTGTGGTGATGAGACAAAGATTATGCCCATCTCACTTCCTCAGTAATGCTGATGCTGCTGGTCCACCAGTAACACTTTGAGTAGCATGGCAACAGATCATTATCATGAGGGAAGTGAAAGGGTGAAGTAGCTAAGCATCCCTGCAGAGCAGGTCTTTGAAATAGCAACGCATTTTCTCCTTTACACTTTTCATAATTTTTGTGATACCTTGACACTGCCACTACAACCATCTGCCAGGTGTCAGAAAGCTGAGAAGCTGTTTTAAGTACCATTTAATTTACAGCTTTTATATAGTCCCGTTTTCCTTTTATGGCCCTTTGAGGCATTTGCTCATTTATGTGGTCACTTGGAGACACTGTAGGTGACAGAGTCTTGCTGGCTGATTGGCAGGTCTAATTCTTCTATGGTACCACTGGGTGAGTTTGAACCAGCAATCTTTGGGTTACTATCTGAGTGCAGACCATCTGCACCCAGAGACCTTTATGGTTCTTTAATTTTGGTCTAGTTTTACTCTCCTACTTGGGATTCAAGAATTGGGTGAGCAAATTTATGCCTGTGTGTATAGATTAGCAGAATAAAATTTCAAGAAAGAAGACACTTCTTGTTAGTAAGTAAGAGGCAGGAAAAAAATTCAGGATGGAAACTAAAATTTAGCAAAAAAGAAAGAAACCTTCATGGCCAAGAAGTAGAAGTCTCTTTAAAAAAAAACCAAACTCTCTGCCACTGAGTCGTTTCCAACTCACAGCAACTCCCTTGGGTTTCTGAGGCTGTAAATCTTTACAGAAGCACATTGCCCCATCTTCCTCCTGAGGAGCAGCTGGTAGGTTTGAACCGCTGACCTTCCAGTTAGCAGTCAAGTGCCTTATCCACTATGCCACCAGAGCTCCTAGAAGTCTCTTAGGTATTTTTTTTTTTTTTTTTGAGTGAAAATTTGTTTAAA